AGCGGATCGTTCCAATCAAGCTTCAATAACCAAAGTCTTTGGATGAAGATTTTTGCTTTTGTTATCCCTGGACCAAGCAGTCCTAATAATGGATCATAAAATGCGAGCAATATCAGACACACTGCTCTCTTTGTGTAAGCAGTTGGTTTCTTGATGGTTGATTTGTACGAAAAACAATCTATCTTTGGATTCCATAATAATCCTAAAGTTTTGATGCTCTGATCGTCATCGAAATTGCTGAAAGAATATTCCTCTTGTCCATCCGGAAACTGCAAAAGATCAGGATGATTAGCACACCATCTGTGCAGACGCATTCCTCCACGTGATAATAGGTTAATCAATTGCGACTGTAATTCTTTAGCCTCTATTAGAGTATGGGCTCCTGTGAGTACGTCATCGACGTAAAAATCCCTTTGTACTATTGGCGCTGCTAACGAAAAATTGTTTTTCTCGTCTTCTGGTAATCGATTAAGTGTGCGTGTTGCTAGATATGGTGCTTTGGAAGTACCGTAAGTTATAGTCTTCAGTCTATAGACCTTAACTGATTCTTCTTCACTACTCTTCCATAAGATGCGTAATAAATCTCTTTGATGTTCTTTAATCAAAATCTGACGATACATTTTTACAATGTCTGCTGTGAAGGCAATTTTATGCGTTCGAAATCTGCAAATAATATCAAATAGTTCGTGTTGAACTAACCCTCCATTCAGTAGAATATCGTTTAACGAAATTTCAGTAGTCGTAGGAGCAGTGGCATCGAACACTACCCTAAGTTTAGTGCTAGGTTTCTCGGGCCTGAAAACCCCATGATGAGGAAGATAATATGAGAAACTAGAGCTATCCCCTTCATCAAAGTTTCTTCGGAATGGCCTAATTTATTATATTCCTTAATGAAATCTTCGTATAAGTGGTTTCATTGTGGGATTGTGAGTTAAGCGTTTAAGTAGATAATTCAGTCTTTTACTAACGTTTTCTCTCGATTCGCCTAAAAGGCTAAGCTCTTCCTCCTTAGTTGGCATTTCCACTACATATCTACCGTCATCTTGCCTCCTGTGTGTACGAAGAAAGTGCTATTCACAAAATTCCTCTTTTTGACTCTTCACTTTTTTGTTTCATTAATACCTTCAGTCTCCCAAAACCTTCTCATATTGTCAGATGAATGATCCACAGTTTCCAACAAACCCTTTAACAATAATTATCAACATTGCCTTGCTGCGGCATGCGTACTGACCCGCTAACGATGTATCCAAAAACTGACTGATGGGAATCAGGTCTTGCATATTTATTCTGATTTGTTCCCAGTAAATCAAAAAATATTTCGTTAGATAATAAAACATGTATTTGACCAGGTTTATAAAACTTCGGATCAGCTAAAACCAATGGAGTTGCAACTGCTTAACATCAGGAATGTTTATATATCTAGCAGGCGTTACGCGAGTTATTTTGGGAACAACAAAAAATTGTAAGGTACGAATAAAATCTCTAGTAGCGTTAGCGATGGTTGCTATAGCTTTTTCCTTAACACCCATAACTGTACCATTGATACCTGAAATAGAAGCGTTTATTTTTCTTTTCTTCAAATTCAATAACTCAGCACCTTCTTTAGTAATGAAATTATTTTGAGAACCGGCATCCAGCAAGGCTCTCAGCGAGATAAATTTTCCATCATTACCCTTAACGAAAATAATTGCAGTTGAAAGTAGAACTTGTTTATTAAAAGAACTGGAAATATTCAGCGCAGTACCGTTAATGGACTTTGCTTGGTTGGTTTCATTAGTGTCACTAACCTTTTGGCTGCTTGTGCCAATTGGAGTAAACTGTATCAGCATTTGGAGAAAGATTACTGCTTAATTTATTAGTATTCTTTTATGATTTGATTTCGATGTGCCGTTTGCTCTATCGAAGACTTTGAAAATTTTCTTCATTTCGATCAAAATGTAAGAGCGAATTGTGAAATTTCTGACATTTTCTGCATGTATTAGAACTTTTACAGTCCTTGATTGTGTGGACCGAAGATAAACAATTGAAACACAGTTTTTTTTGTCTTTACAAATTCAAATCGTTTCTTGACTGTTAGATTTAAGAATTGCGCACATTTTTCAACAATAAATGATCAGCTTTACAATAAGGACAATTTTTTTGAATTTTCCGAAAAGTGATGTAAGAGCTTTGGTATTAAATGAACGTTTCGATTCCCCATGCGGAGGTTTGTAATGTGATAGGGTGCGAGCGTGTTTTCCTTCAAAAAACATGTCAGTTGTTTAACTGTTCCTATTTCATCTTTTTTAAAGCGATCTTTCCCACCAACACCGAGTATTTCTATCCAACTTTTCAACTAATAAATAAACAATTAACGTGTCTGAAAATTCTTCCACCTTTTGCTCCAATGCTTCCAAGGATCGTAAACATTCATGCACCTTATCGATAAATTTTAAAAGCGACGAAGTAAGAATCACTCGTTTGAGGTATAGAAATTAATTTCTTTATGATAGAATTGATCAAATCTATTTTTTGTTGCAATAGCGCTCAGCAACCAACAGATTCCATGCTATGTCATAATTCGAATCCTGAAATTGGAATGGACTGAATAATATTTAAAGTATGTCTGCCTTACACGAACTCTTTAAATATTGCAATTTTTGCGCATTAGTTAATTTGCTATTTTTATGCACAGCTTGCGGAAAATAAATCCTCAAATTCAATTCCATTCTTCGAATTTTCCCACTAAATATTGGAAGAGACAATTTAGGCAATTTTATATCCGAAACAATTATGTCTTTACTCGAACCGTTTTCATTTGAGCAGCTATACCTTTGAGAACGGATCTCAGAAATTTTTCTTTTAATTTTCAAATGAATTTCATCGAGATTATCTACTACATTTTCCTTTTCCTTAATGAATTCGTCAGTGTCCTTTTCTTCACAATGTGCAAATAAAGAATCGAAAATGTTACTTAATTCCTTTTTAAATTCTAATATTTTTGATTCGTATAACTCCAATAAGGAAATATCTGCTTCATCCACTGTAGAATTTACCTTATTTTCAAACTTTCTGATACTGCATTTTAAAAACTTTTTTGTTAGCTTTAATTGCTTTCAATTCACTCATCATGAACAAATAAATAATTTATCACTTACCGTGATTGCAGATTTCTCGACAGCAACACCGGAAATGAACGATGACACAGTATTCAATCTTAATTGCGTAATCCACACGAAAACGAAAGCATTCCAAACACTCTATATGAAGTTATCCGTAATACAACCAAACGAAAGTATTACAAATGTTCTAAAAAGTTAATTTTAGCAACGATGTCTTTTACCTGTGGCTCGGCGGGCCATAAAGTGTTCATGCGATGCGTGCGTTGTTATACAACAATTTCAAATTAACTAGAAGTGGACTGTACTAAATATTTTATTCGACAACTTTAATCAAATGCATGCCATCTTTCAAGCGATGACTTACTACTAACAACAACAGCAATAAAAAAAAAAAACTGAGTAAGCGTTTACAGGGTTGCTGTAATGAACATCTGCGCCATGCAAGGCGCCAAGAAGAGAAAAAATGACGTAATCTTACAGTTAAATAGTCTTAATGACTTAACAGGTGCCATAAATTTCTTTATTGTTTGAACAATATTTGTGCCAGCTTTTTAATTTAGATTCGAGAATCATCTTTTTGTAGTTTGCATTTTCTTTTTTGAATTTGAGCCAGGCTTGGTGTCTTAATTCATCGTCAGTAATCGATTTCATTTTCCGTTTCAATGCTCTCGCCTTATGCTTTTGAGTGCGTAACTCTTTAGTCCACCAATTTATATGAAAGTAAGGTTTTACAGATCGTATTGGAAAGGTATTTTCACATATTTCTTGGATTTTTTTTTTTTTATAAAATCTTCTGTAGCTTTATTTAGATCTTCTTTTGTTGCACTTAGTTGGAAGGAAGAAGTCATTGGAAATGCGGATTGTTGAATTTGCTTAATAAAGTTCTTTTCTTTCTTTTTAGTAATTTTAAAACGTTTCATTAAAACTGATTCTGAGTTCTCTTTGATTTCAAAAGTAATATATTTATGATCTGAGTGGTAGTTGTCTTCTTCAATTTTGCGATTTGAAATCGAATTAATTAGGTGATGGGAAGTAACTACGAGATCTGGCCACCCTCTCCCATACATTGTTTCGAAAGAAGGTAAATCCGAGGCTTGGTTATGAATGACAAGATTATGCGAATTGAAGAATTCCTCAAGGGACCTTCCTCTTGGACTTGTGGTATTGTAGCCCCAAAGCTGGTTGTGTGAGTTGAAATCTCCACAAATTATGTGTGGACTTCGGAAGGAAAACAAGATGGATTCTAAATCATGAAGCAAAGGAGAAATATCCTCGGAGGGAGATGCATAAATACTTGAAATAAGTTGAGAGTTGGAACTATTAAGACTGATTGTAACTAGGTCTCTTTTGGCTGTAATTAGAATTGGGTGCCAGCTATGATTAAAACTGATGATAGCTGCTCTGGGATGTTGATTGGGCGACTGAGGAGAATATTGAAAGATATTCCAAGACGTTGGAATGCTACTTACTTTCCCTTCGATACAATAGGGTTCTTGGATTAAAACAAAGTCTTTATGGTTATGAGTTAAGAATTCTGCTAGATGATCAGAGGCCGTTTTTGCTCTTTGTAAGTTGATTTGGAGAAAACGAATTGAAGAAAATGGAATCGAGTTTTTTAGCAAGGTTGGGGGTAGATTATTTTGTACATCACTGTCCACGTTATAATCTTGAGTTGAAGCGTTATTCTTTAAATTGCGCTCTTGCATGTTAATATCAACTGAAGAATTATTAGTTATGGATGATGGCAACATGTGAGGTTGTGGCTTTGTCCGGGTACAATAATTTGTTGAGCTGACTCCTGTACGTCTGGCATGTTCTTTCATGAGCACCGTGATCAGTTGGTAACGAAGAACCAGTTTCTTGGTTACTTCGCACACAATTTACACAGCGTTTTAAGTTTTAAGTACACTCTCTATAGGAATGTTGTTTTGCGCAGATGGAACAGCAGGGAGGATTTTGACAGCTTCGACTATTATGTCCAAGACCCTGGCAATGAACGCAACGGGGAAGTGAAATGTAGGGACGGAAGGAACACGAGTTGAATCCAATGAAGACTCTTGATGAAGTAAAACAGTCACTAGAATCTGAAGAAATTTCTACAATCCAATTATTTGTATTTTCAGATCGGTGAACTGGAGAACACGAAATATCAAGATTCTTATTTGATGTAATTTTCAGAAAAGCCGATTTGATATCTTCAGTAACTACTGAAGATGGTACATTAAACACTATGAGTTTGGTACTTTTGGGTTTTGAAGTACGAACAGTTACGGAGGCTTGTAATTGTGAATTTTCAACGATTGAGCGGTGTAAGTGTTCTAAGTCTGCTTTCTTTTCGACACCGATTAAAAGCTCATTAGACTTAGTAGTACGAATATTATTGATATGAATATCCAGTTTTTGTGGATTAAGTGTCGAACTTAGTTGGGGTCTGATATCTTCAGGTGTTCTCTCTGAATCTTTAGGTTTCAGGAGTAGAATATGATCTCTGAATTGACGTTTTGGAGTCTGTTTCAAAGAAATGTTTTTGGCGGCAGCAACGGCGTAGGAATTTGGGGTTTGTTCTAGAAACTTTGTTTCGAATAATTTTTTAACTTCGTGTTGTTGTTGCTGCAAATATTCCTTCACTTCAGAGATAACTGTAGTATTTGAACGCTGAAGAGATAGTTGCTCTCTCAGTTCCGAAATTGTACCTTCGTGCTTCGCTAGAGTAAGTTCTTGGTCTGCCACTATTTGACGAAGAGCTGTTAAATGGACAGAAATATCTTTATGTTCTTGGGTATTAAGTTTTCTATTTTTTCCGATGTTTAGAATATCTTTAATTTTATCAGTAATTCGTAGAATATCATTCAATCTGGAGGAGTCAGCATTTTCAGAATTGCTAGTTAAAGAATGGGAGATGTTTAATAATGATGGTGAGGAAGACCTATCTTTAGAAGCCATCGATAATAGTTTACAATTTCATAGCTCACATAAAACAAAAATGACAAAAATCAGAAATTATTCATAAGCAGAGCAGAAAATTACTAGTACATGAAGTTAACAAAAATAAATAAATAAGTAAATAGTAGTGAATAATTGCTTATTGGAATAAATGCTATTACTCACATAAATTCTGACAAAAATAATTATAAATTCAGGTGTTATGCAGTTCCAATGTTTCTTAGGAAAAAGAATATATATATAAAGAAAGAAACTCAAATTAAATAAAAATACAGAATTATCTGTTGGTAATACTATATTATGTCAAGTCTTAACCAAAGGTTAATTAATTAGATAACTGTGAGTTGTCAGACGTACATTATATTAAGTCGTTAAGAGGAGTTCTAAACCTTATTCAGACAGGTATTTCTGCAAGTGAGCGTTAAGTAATCAGTATTATACTTAGAAAACAGATACAACAGTATGTAAAAACTTTTCAGAGTTAGGCAAAACACACAAAATACAATGTGATAGAATAGGGGAGTATAAATAAGTATGAAAAGACACACTAGTTACATTAACACATGTACATACGATTCTAAATACCAGATAATAATAATAATAATAATAATTGTAATGAAAATAAAATAATATTAAAATGAATTTTAGGAAAAAGTATATTTTTTCTTAAAGTACTAGACTGCAGGAGTTAATAAATAAACCGTGAAAACTGGTAAACTGTGCAGAGTTCTGCTTACAAGTGAATAAAAATAGTAATTCAATAATTAATTAACTAAAAGATAAGCGCATGGTATCAAACTGATAATGTGATGATCTGTGAAGATGCAGTATTTAACCCCGTTTCATTCAGTGCTTTTATCCTTTTAGAACTTTGGTTAAAGATTTAAAACACAATTGTTGAAATTGGGCAAAAATGCTCCGCCGATGAAACTGAGGAAGCCGTGTGCATTGAAAGGGCTGTTCTTATTAGAGCTGTAACAATCAAAGAATCTCTAAGGAGATTCTTTGATTCTTTGAGATTCAGGAGATTCTTTGGTAACAATAGAGCACGGTCGTGGGCATACAGATACAGTTCAAGGTCGCCTCCTAACTGGTTTCGGGGGCAAGTATGTGGGAAAAAAAACTCTCTGTAGAAGGTGACGGGGGAAATGGAACACACTTGCACGTTAAATGATGTAAAATAATTAAAATAAACGCCTCAGAAGAAGGGACGGGGAAGAAATTTTCAACGAAGATAAAGTGTTTAAGAGCCAAACTCTTGAGTACGATTTCAGCGTTGATAGTCTTGTAAATAAGTTATAATCCAGAAAAACTTGCATTAATTGAGCTGAATATGGCACAATTTTAATGAGCTGTACTTCCTTAATTGCTTGAAATAATAACATCAAATGGCATCCATAGGTATCCTGGGAATGTGAATTAATCAAAAAGTTCAATTAATTTTAGCACTATTACACAGGAAGAATTTTATAAATAACTTGTGATCCTTGGCACTTCGCTTAACCACTTTCACAAACAAAGGAATATCGGCCGCGTTTCACGAGAACAATAAAAACTAAGTATTTGATGAAATAATGGTCGTAGAAACTAAAGATTTGCAGCACTGTGTTCGCGGTATGTTGCTGAAATCTGTGCTATACAATTGAAATCGACTTTTGTTTTTAAACGACACTTACAACAATACAAGCGGGAGCACGTGAAACTGCAGTCTACACAGCTGCAAGCGTCGGTTGAGAGCTAATAATAATATGTGCTTAAGAAATAAATCTTTATTTCGAAATACAGGTATCTTCTCGGAACAAATTGACAAGTTTTGTTGAAGAATTGGGCCGGCCCACCAGCGGCCTAGCTGTAAAAGCAGCTGAACACTGGTAGTCCAGGGTCTGTCCAGGGTTCGAATCCTAGCGAATAGGCTGGCTGTATGCGCGTTTTCATGTTTTCCTCCTGGTATAGCATGGGTAGGAGCTAGTTTCTCTCAAAACGACCTCTACGAGGCATCCCTCCCTTTGCTTGTAGTGTCTAAGGGAGGAGCACGTAATAGACAAAAAATAAGAAGAATTGCACCTTTGTATCTAGCTTTCAAACTAGTGATAATATGCCGAAAATAAAAACTACCGCGAAAATGGTTTAATGTGCCAGATCAAAATACCTCATACGGTACAAGTCAATGAAAATGTAACACCAAGGAGGAGTAGCCGGAGAGTGATGAAACTCGGAAAACAGAAAACGACAGCAATGAACAGTAAGTGAACTTTATTTCGAAATGATATGCATATTACAGAGCGAGAACTGCGACGGCTCATTAAACTGTAGAACCACCTTGGACGGCGACACACGAAGCAACGCGCCTAGGTACAAAATCAATGAGATACGGATGGTACTTTGAGGAATCTGAGGTGCTCTGAGGCTCTCCATTTCCTGTCAACCGTTTGCCACAGTTCATCTTCTGAACGTGACAATGGCAGAGTCTGCAAATGGTAAAATTGATCGTTATTTGGGATGTGAAACATCCCAAATGTGTTCGATTAGTGAGAGATCAATAGAGAACGGTGGCCAGTGAAGCATCTGTTTGCTGATGCCATGGAAGTAGGAAAGGGAGGAGGGGCCAACCCGCGCTAAAAGTGAAGCACTGCTTTGAAGCTTGGGTCACCAGATGGAGTGTTCTTTGTTTACATTCAGAAGCTCGCTTGACAAGATTCTGATAGTATTTCGACACACGACAGTTCCACAGAAATCGAGAAACGGACACTTTCGCATGAAATAAACATTCATAGTGTGATGGATAATAGCAATTTGTATAGTTTAGTGACATTTACGCAAAAATCAAATCTTGGTTATTTTTCGATAACTAACAACAGCGATTTTGATTATGAATTTGTTTTATAAAATTCTAAGCTGTTGCACTACAAAAATATAGATTTTAAGAAAAAATGTTATGCTTAAAGAATGAAAAATACCTTACGGTACATTTAAAATTGTATACGTCTTTCGACACCCCTTGATAGAGTATTCGCTACTTTTATTTTATTTTCCAAACGTCAAAATGTTTTAAATAAAACAAATTTTTTTCACATCCATATATTATTGTAACATGCACCTTTTAAAATTTTTTAGAGGAGAGGCTTTACTGCTGCTCATTTTAAACCCATCGTTTTAATTTTATATATCTAAAAAATAATCACTTTGGGCTTACATGTTTTATAAATATAAAATTATGTATGTTAAAATATTTGTAATTAGGCACATAGGTCAGATTAAGTTTTTATTAAATAGAGTAACGCATGCAAGGGCTATCTGCCTAAAGAGAGAGATGCCATCGTGGAGGATGTTTGAAGAAAAACTGTCCTTTGAGTGGGTATTAAAAATAATACTTGTAATTTTCATTCAAATTATATTCATATATATTTTTTATGTAAAACTTTCGGGTGTAATCTAAATTAGTGTAAATTACTTTACACATAAATATAGTGAATGGACAGAAATTAAAGATTTGCACATGCCGGAAATGAAAAATAGGAAATACGTATGGGTATTTATGCATGTGCTTGCAAAAAAGCATGTATCTGCCTTGACAAAATACTTAAATATTCATTAAATTATTTATAAATGTATTTGAAATGAAGAATTTATTCACTTATAAACAACTCTGAAAGTGCTGTGAAGAAATCTAATTATTAAATGTATCTAATTTATAATGATTATAAATGTTATCTAAACATATAATAACCTTAATATTGAATAGTAAACATAAATTGAAATCCTGTTGACAAATACGTTATAAAACTATTTAAGCAAGAATTTTTCGTATTGGAAAGCAATCTGTTAAAAGGTATTGCAAAGCAAATGCTATGAGATGAGCACTTAAGAACGTAATAAAGAGTTTTGGAATATGTATTGTTGAAATGAAGGGTAAAAAAAAAAATCTGATAAGTATAATTAAAAGAATTATTCCTCTTACGTTTTATAATAACTCAGTTACAAGTTTTAAATAATACTTAAAAAAAAACTTATTTTATTCCCTTTCAGAAATGTTCAGAGAAAGTCAAGTACTATTTAATACCTACTTATCCTAATAATTCTCTAATTTAAAATGAACCGAATAGAGCATTAACTATATTGACTTACATTTTTCGATTTAAAAGAAGCCAAAAAATCATGTCATATTTAAGAAAGTATTTTAGGAAGAAGCTCTATAAATAGAAAAGAAATAATGCATAATTTTAATATTTATAATACAATAAACTTTGATCTTAATTTTTGTACCTTAATCGAATAAAATCGAAATACCTTAATTTTTTTTTCTAATATAATTAACGAAAACTTGTGAAAATATTTCATTCAAATTAAACCATTCTGAGAAAACTGTTCTGTGAAAAGTATAGCATTTAATTCCGTTCAGAATGAAATGTTGTTTAAAAATATGTTGTTTTCACATACTTAGGACTCTGAAGTGTTGTAGAAAAAGAAAATATATACATTTATATGTATATTTACGACGTAATTACAAAATATATACATCCGAACGCGTCAAATCCCATAGAACTCAATGGTAAATGACCCAATGTTTTGGTCACCACGTAGGGAGATCGCCGGTGCTTCAGAGCAGGGTACGGAGAAGCTTGTTTAGGGCGACTCCATCTTACTTCCTACCTCCATGGCTGATGCATTACATGATCGGGCGTTATCCTGCCTGCCAAAGGGCACTGGGCACTTTCTGAAGGTAGAGGAGTGTCACCGGCCGCAGCACATAATCCACGTATCGTTGGGCCGTCATAGTGCCTTGAATACGAACTAGACGAACTAGAGTTGACTTGGAATCGTACGCAATAGCGCTCCAATCCAAAATCCTGTATTATCGCGCGGCAGGGTGTTCCACAATTGGTGCAGGATGAGGCCTACTCACCCCCATCGACGCCACATTCGTACGAAGCGACTATCATTGGAGAAACAGAAGCGTGAATCATCTGAGAACACGACCCTGTGCCATTCCGTCGTCCACATCACTCGAGCCTACGTAATGCAGAGAATGTTATATGGCAAAGTGTTTAATAATAATATGCAAGTTGCCACGTTACGTGCATGTGCTACGCTATGTCATGTTGCTATGCTATGCAAAGTTATGTATTTCTGTGCTATGTTATATCGCTATGCTATGACTATATGCTATGCAATCACTTTTGTCTACGCTATTCTATGCCCCTGTGCTGTGCAGGTCATGTTATGCTGTTTATTTATTTATTTTGTTTGTTTGTTATAAAAATGTTTTGTCAATATATATGCCTCCATGCTATGTTCATATGCGAGGCTATATTCTGTATGCCGTGTAGGTTATATGAAGCTGTGCATTTTATGTTGCAAATCTGTGACGTCAATACGTTATGTCGCAATACTATGAATGTTATGTCTATGAGATGCTATGGTATGTCGCTATGCTATGTCCACCTTTCATGTAGTTAAGTTACGTTGTGCATTTAATGCTGTAAATATGCAGTCCTTACGCTATGCTCTGTCATATCATGATACAGTGCTGTGTCATGTTATGTCTACGCTACGCTATGATATGTCACCATGCAATGACCACCTATCGTATAGGTCATGCCACACTGCGAATTGTATGTTGTAAATATGTAACCTCAATATGCTATGTCGCTCTGCTAAGTCCATATGCCATGTTATGCTATGTTGCAATACTATGCTATGTCTTATCTATGCTTTACTACGTTATGTCGCTATTACTATGTCCACCTGTCGTGTAAGTTACGTTGTGAATTTAATGTTGTAAATATGTTATGTCGCTATGCAATGACTACATTCTATACTATGTCACGTCGAAATGTTATGCAATGTCATGTCTATGCTGAACTATGTTATGTCGCCCTGGAATGTCGACCTGTCGTTTAGGTAATGCTACGCTAGGTATTTTATGTTGTAAACATGTTATGCTCTAGATGGAGCGGATCCCGGACTATACCCGATTAGTCTTTGAAAGCCGCCCGGTCTCGCTGTCACATGTCACCTGTCACTCGAGCCCGGCACCATTGCAGATGCCACATTTCCTTCTTCTAACCACCATCCCCATAGCCGGTGCACGGTGGACGCATCTAAGTGTGTGCCAGCTGAAATTTGCCGTATGGACCAACCTGTCCTTCTCAGTCTGATTACCATACCCCTCATAAAACCTTTTGTCTGCTGGAACTACCTCCGTTGGCGACAGCCTGGTATTCTCTGCTACGATTTCATATTTATCGTCTTCTTTGACAACAAGTTTTCTACAATTATTTCCATAGCAAATATAAGGGTACGAAAATAAAATATTCTTTAGGTTCTTTCTCTGTCAACTTTAACGTGCGCTAGACAGCTGCGCGTTTCACATCGTTCTCATAACTCGATGACGTGCGTCTACCCTGAAATTTGCATAATAATTATCTGACCACTCCTCCTTGGTGTTGCATTTTCAATGTCGGCTAGTTCTTGTTGTCATTTGTGTTATAAGGTATTTCCCCCTCCTTTCGGCACGTTTTCGTGGTGTAACGGTAGCACATTCGGCGCGTATTCGAGAGGCCCAAGTTCAAGTCTCGGCGAGAGCATTGCTCATTTTTCCTGTTTTCTACTTCAGAAATACAAATGACTCTTCAGTGCTTTCAGTATTTATAGAACTGAAATTGATGGATTAGATTTACCTGCTTGAATTCCTAATGAATACATGAAAACTTGAGTTTAAAAAGTGGACGCGTCTTTATTTTTACATTACATTTCATTGCACTTCCGCTGTTAACGTCTTTTCTTCATATTTTCTTGGACATGTTTATCCGTTTTAAAAGTGTATTTAGCACATTTTTATCTTAATAAAAATACTCTTTTACTAATTGTTTCATATTTTATGCATTGCTAATTGAGTCCCCATTACCAAAAAATACGTTATTATTAACACTCATAATTAATATTGGAGTATTTGGTTCCTCGGCACTTCGATTTAATGACGTAGTATTAAGCACATCAATTCCATGAATAAAATTAGAATCTTTCTAAATGTTATTCATCAGATTGTAATTAAAGAAGAAGTTGTTGCTGCTCCTTATTCAGCTACGCAATTTATTTCCTTCACGGAAATTTTCGCAAAACCTAGTCTTTTGTTTTCATTTTAGTTTCTTTTCGAATGTAATATTCTTAAAGAAAAGACTTCTAAGACGAGTTTGAGAGTATTAAAATTTCTTACAAGGATGACCGTAACATTCTCTGAGAACTACTTCAGAGGATTTGGCAATCGGAGAGAATATTGAACTATGTCTTAAGAACTGATTCCCAATTTCCATAACTTACCAGTCTCCCAACTCACAAAGCTTATTTTAGTTTTATCCCTTTATGACACTAGATGCAATCCACACACATAATCAGAACTTTGTTTCGACGAAATTCCAATAACGACCAAAAATCATAATCACGTGTTCATCGCTAATAGGAATTTATGAATGGATCTGTCATAGTGAACTCCTTCCACCTTAAGCCTCTTCTCCCAGGAAAACCGATTTCTGAATCATAACTTTTAGAAGTCTCGCAACTGATCTCCTGGACCTGCATGCAGACTTCATTACTGAATCCATAAGTAGATGTCAAGATTATGTTTATTAGAATTTTGGGATGAACTTGCGGAGAAGGCTTTGTTCCAAATTTGAATGGATGGCAGGCAGATTAACTTCAACGTATAAAAGAAAATAGCTTCTGAAGAGAAAAGAAATATATTGCACTTAGGTCTTGGGAGAAAGATATGAGAAAAGTGGCAGAGAAATCGATTAGGTTCTTAGACATAAGGCTATAGCTTTTAATTAAGATTCTAGGTATTGAGTTCATAAGAGATATGATGAATCTTAGCCGACAGTATTACGGTGTATACTGCGTATGCAAGTTAGCGGCGAAATGTAATATGCAATTTTTTAGAATTCATTTGGACTGGAGAAAACAACTTGAATAGTTTCTAAGATAGTAAAAAAAATTTCATATTATCATTTTTTAATTATAACCGGTACGAATACTTTAACATTACTCTTCGTTATGAACTACTCATAATAAATTGTCTTCAGAGTTATGCACAACTTAAGAAAATACTGTAAAATATACATAGCATATCATTTATATATGAGCATATAATTTAAAATTGTATTTTTAACCATGGGTTTTTCAACATTATAAAATGTAACCTTTTGTATTAAAAAAGTGCACAAAATAACTAGCTTTTTCCAATTATTTCAAAATCACTGAACTTTCAGATTAAGAGAAATGTGAAATATTATTTATGCAAAGAAGGAAATGTTTTGCTTCTAAGTGATCTCAAGCTTGAAAGAGGCTTTTTGGATCTTTGCGAATTCAAGATCATTTGAAACTATGATCAGAATTTTCCATTCCCGGAACTTTGATAAATGAGAACAATTTTATTACCTGGTGAATATTGGTTTAGCTTACAGTTAGACTCTTAGCACAGTTTAATCCCCCAAACAATGGAAAACGCTTGAAAAGAGGCAAAGACTGCGAATTGATTATCCTAATGATTAATCTGCCAGAATTTCAGGCACAGCTGAATGATGACATTTAGGCTGACAGGCATCCTTCAGACTGGCAGGAGTCAGAAACGCTGGCTGTGAAAAATGTGCGTGCTTTAACAAAGGTTATCCATGTAAGCTTCCGAGACAAATACTAATGGTCTATTTGTAGCATATTATATAACTTCTGTAATAAGTTCTTCTTAGAAAGAATTTGTTAAGAAGCAATAGAATAAAATTCTTATATGAAATAAAATATGTTTATCTGAATTCTTTTAAAAATCTCAAATAAATTAAGTTATAAAATAGCAAAGTAACGATATTTCTGGTAAACCAGCAGATGCTATTTTTGAACTAAAAATGAAGCTGCCTTCAAAATTGCATAAGAAAATCCATCTTAGATCATAAGCAGTTGGTAGGATGAATAATTCCAAGAATTTAAATCAATAGGAATAGGTAAGTTGCGTAATTCTTTAGAGGCGATTATTTCAGTTAACTGTTGTAAGGTAACACAAAGATTCTCGCAAAATGGGAAGCATTTAGGTGCGTGAACGTTAACACAGACGTACATTATTGATCAACTTTATGGGAGTTGGAACATTAAAGTGAAAACTGAATGGCAAATTAAGAAATCTGAGATTTTCGAAATACTAAAAAATGTGAAAATCAAAAGGAAGATGATTATGAATATGATGATCGTTGCTGATAGGAACTGCTGCAATCCTATAACATATCGGTCAATTTTCATGAAAAGATTTTTTTTTATTTATCACCACTGAGCAGGCAGACGGAATAATGCCTGCGCAGAGGGAGATCAAGTACAATCCAGCAGCCGCCACCACCAGGGTAGGGCTGATAGTTCTAACGATACCTTTTTTGAACAAAATCAGAGAGTACATAGAGTAGCAGTATTTCATAAGCAAAGACAAGTCACATTCATATGCTACATATAATTCAGAGTTATAAGTTGGTACTTAATATAAGAAAAACAAAGTTGCTGATTAAATTTTGCAAATACTTAATATAAGAAACAAAACAGAAAATAAAACAAAAATAAAATAATTATGGAAAGATAATTCGAAGTCGCAAATTATCTGTGTTAATTCCAGCTTCCTCAATTGC